GCGGGGGGCGGGGCAGAGAGACAGGGAGAAACAGAATCAGAAGCAGGCTCCAGGCTCAGAGCTGTCAGCACACAGCCCAATGCAGGGCTCGAACTCACACACTGTGAGATCATGACCCGAACTGAAGTCAGACATGTAACCACCTAGGTGCCCCAACTTCCCATATTTAACACTCTCCAAAAGGGGCATGACCATTTCTGAATAGATTACCTGATAGGTTTTTTGTGAGAATCAAATGAAATAATAGCTATGAATATATGTGATACGCATGTTAGAAAAATAAGGGTGAAAATCTAAAATAAACAGCAGTTAAGCCTCAGAGATAGGGTAATGGAGCATCAGTACTTTCTTTTTTTATTGTTTGCTGTGTTTTACAAATGTGCTATCAAGAGTATATGTTACTTTTGGAAAAGCAACAATTGATTTAAAAGTGCTGGATGCATAAAAACCTGCAAGCATAAAAGCCAGTGTTTACACTGAAAAAAAAATGTAGGATTGGACGTTTATCCTCTTAGATTTTAAACTACTTATCTTACTCTGGACCACCATGTACTGCACTGCAAACAAAAACAAAACAAAACTGAGGTGGCCAGCAAGGGCGGTGGCTACAACCCAGCAGGTGCTTGTTTGTAAACAAGGCACCCCAGCCTGTGACCAAATCTGCCTAAAGGCAAGGCTTCTCCTAACTTGCATAAAGTCTCCAGAGAGGTTCCCGCCGCCCTTTGTCTACCAGTGTCAGCGCTGGCCCTGCCCCTTCCCCACGCAGGGAGACTCACGCCACTAAATGTGGTGATTGTTAGAATCGTGGCCACAGGCTGCGTTCTCCGGTGCGCTGGTGCTGGTGAGGGATTCCCCAGCGGGTGCATGTCGTGAGTGAAGGTGGCCTGGGACAGCAAGGCCAGGGAGACACTCGTGGGGAAGGACAGGCCGAGGGGCCAGCCGGGAGGAAGATGACCAGGGAGCCCTGAACCAGGAGCCGACCCAGAGCTGGGCAACAACAAGGGGCAGAGCAGTGGGATCAGGGCACCTCCCCCTGCAAACAGGAAGCAGGTGAGGAGGCAGCGCCCAGCTTCCCATCAGGAGGTCTGGGGGGTGGGGGGGGGAGGGTGATCAGCTGTCCACCCTCGTACCACCTGTAGCCCGGGCAAAATGAAGCATTTCAACCATAGCTGATGGGATTTAGATCCTGTTAAAAACAGCCTGATAAACGGGAGCCCGGGTGGCTCAGTCGGTTGTGTCGGACTTCGACTCAGGTGACGATTTCATGGTTCATGAGTTCGAGCCCCCCATGCGGCTCTGTGCTGACAGCATAGGGCCTGCTTGGGATTCTCTTTCCTTCTCTCTCCACCCCTTCCCTGGCTGACCACCTGCTCGCTCTCTCTCTCAAAATAAAGAAATAAACATTAAAGAGACCCAAGGTAATAAAAGCGTAATAAAAACTGTAAGACAGAGCGGAGCGTGTCCTGGCCTCCCCCCTGGCTGGCGGTGTTCCGTCCGTCGGCTGCCCGGCAGAGTCCGGATGGAGGGAGGCAGCACCGGAAGGAAACTGCTACCTTGCCCGGGGTCTCACCTGGGAATGGCAGGCAGTGCTGGCGCTCCGTCACCTGTGACCCTGAGCGGGGCGCAGAGCGGGAACCAACCTGTTTCCTGCAGTCCCATCCCCTTGCGCCCAAAGCCGCCAGTCCCTGCTCTCGGGGCTCCAGTTTTCAGGGGCGGGGTGGGGGAGGGGCGGGGGAGGGGCGGGTAGGGGTGGGGGAGGGGCGGGTAGGGGTGGGGGAGGGGCGGGGACGGGCGGGCCCGGCACACAAAGCTCCCCACATCCCCTATGACCTTCCACCCCTGAGGGCAGCGACGCCCGGCCTCTACCCTCCGGACACACCAGTCGGGATGCTTTGGCTGCAGCCACAAAAGGGACGCTGGCTCTGCCCCCCACAAACCAGGTGTAGGGACGCGCAGTGGCTGTCGGGAGAAAGGGACAGACTCGGCGAGGAAGGAGTCGGGTGACCCGGGCAGCCGGGTGGGCGCAGCCACGCGACCGCGCGGTCACCCAGGTGCCTCCCCGCGAGCCCCCGAGATCGCGGTTCAGAAAGGAGAGACTCCGGCGCCACCTGGGTCACCTATTCACAGGCGGGTGGGAGGGGTCGGGGCCAGGCCCACGCGACCACCTGCGACGGCGGAGCGGGGGAGGGGGGGACTTCTCCAAAGGGGATCGTGTTGCTCCCAAGGGGCGGAGCGGCCGCTGGTGCCGCAGGTCCCCTGGGGGAGGGGGGTGTCCTCTGCGTCTGCGGCGTTACCTTCCGTAGAGAGGACGCGTCCACGGACTCCGTCTCCCCGGGCGGTCAGACGGCCTACTCCCTCCCAGACGCAGGCGCGCATGTCCGGAGAAGGTTCCAGAAGCACGCTCCCCCAAAGACTCTCTGGGCAAGTGGAGAAAATCAGGACAGCCCCCCGGGACCAGAAACGGGGAAGGAGAAACTCTTCCCGACGCTGGGCCCCACTCCCTAAAACCCACCCGCCTGTCAGAGCCACGCACCCCACCCCACCCCACCCTGAGAGCGAGAACTGAACCCTGATTTCATCTCTCGGTTGGGGGACGCCACGCATCTCTCTCTCTACCTTAATCCTGCAAAACTATATTTGGA